TAAATTGTGAGTTTATTTGCAAAAAAAACACTTCGAAAAAGCTTTTAGTACATTTTAAACTTATTGTAATCTCTAAAAACGACATTGCAAAAACCGAATTAATTTAATCTTGTTTTACAGGATAACTAAGGTTTATTGTTTAAGTTGTCAACAAATGTTTGATTAAATACATTTTTGTATTTTACAATTCTGCAACAAAATTTTTCTTATAAAACATTGATCAATATGATACTACGGCTGTTCCAGATTACAGTGAATTTTAAATTAAACTCATAATTGGCAACAAAATGGACCAGTTGCATTATTAATTCAGTTTACTTACGTTAAACTTGACAAAGTTGCCAAGTTGTACAAAATTTCATCTTGCATATCATTTCAAAGCTGTAAAATATTTACGTCCCTAAAAAGGAAAATCCGCAACTGACAGAGCACAAAAGATTAATTAATCGCCTGCAAAATTTTCGTGAAATGAATATTTTTTACTAGGCTTGAGATGACAAAAATTTGAATTTTTAAGACTTGTGGGTTTCACAGGTAATTGCAATTTCTTAGGGTTTGTACGATCACATTTTTCTTAAACCAAGAATACAGGTAGGCAGTGAATACAAAATTTATAACGGTTTTTAAGGCACTTGAACCATACGATTTCATACGACGATATTTTTTTCCTAATAATTACGGCTCTTAAAAACAAAAATATAAAGAAAATAATATTTATAAAAATAAACGTTATACAACCAATTCAATAAGCTTATAGCAAAAACAAACTAATTTCAGTAAATAATTTCCATAAACGAGTAAAACAGGAAAATCCACTCCGATGCATGACACGATGTAACGAAGTCTGAACATTCACCATTTACAATAAATTTGTTATTAGGACTAACATTAATGTCAAAATGTTTCAGAATCAAACAAATAAATTGTCGAGAATTGAATAATTTTTATGTTTTATTTACTTACTTATTACTATATTATATTATTATAATTTTTATATTATATTTACTTACTTAGTATTAAGGCAATTATTCATTAAAATAAATTATTTTTTATTTTATTGTAGAACTCTGCTGGAGATCTTATATCGTTTGTTACTAATGTTTGATAGATATTATAACGTAGTGACTACAATGTAATAAAAATATTAATGGTTCGAAAAGCACGACACAAGTGGAACGAATCAGATTAGAACGTGACAATAGACCACCATTGTACAGATATACGTTTTGCTCTTTTAATAAAATACTGACAATGCAAGTTTCCTAATTGTACAAAAGTGGTAAAAAATATGACATAACATTACTCTGTAGAACGAAACACGATCAGCAAGCCAAAAAACTAACCTCAATATACGAGCAAAATAGAAATGGTCTCAATAAGTAAAACCGTAAGAAACCAATAGTCAATTTCATATCATCACGGAAATAGAGAAATTACAAAAAAGCTAAAAGTATCACAATATTAGTTTTCATCCTTTCATGGCTGGTCCGTTTCGACTCAACAAGAGTACAAAGTGTTACAAGATTGTAGACGTGACTTGATGACAAAACGAGTTTGATATGTTTCACCCACATGGTTCCTTTCCTTCATTTATAAATATGTATGACAGGCCAAATGTAGCCGGGACACAAAGGACCTAACATAAATAAATTCTTCATTGCATTATACTCGTGAAGCTCTTGAAAAGGAGAACTGACGTGATGTCCTTACTTCATTTATAAATAAAACTTTCACGAGCGAATTTTTCTTTTTGTTACGGAATGCTGCGGCGTTTTGGAATCCCAAGAAAACATAATAAGATCATGCCAGGAATTTTGTTTTATGTAGAAATATAGAAATTAATAAACAAGAAATATTTATTCAGATATTTTGGTTGAAGACAGCAAAATTTTCAGGTAGTAATTAAAGATTTTCTAATTTGTGCTTGTAATCATAATAATTATACTAAATTTAAACTTTTAACGTTAGAAGCAAGCTTAGAGTAGTAAAGAAAATAAAAATGTAAACTTAATGTTTAGTTTAAAATTAATAAAAACTTAGCTTTTGCCGAGTGAAGTATCACGTTCGAGTAGTTTTTATCTAAATTCCCGCTCAGTATTTCCTTTGTATGCATTTTTTCATTGTCAGCTTTGTAGTTTCTGTCAATAAATCATCGGAATATGGTAAAGGGTTGTTTTGAACAAGAATTTAAATAAATAGCGAGTCTACAAAGAATGACAAGATGAATAAAACGCGATGCAGGAAGCCGGTCTAGGTGAAAATAACGAAGGCAGTTTTGATTCCTTTGTCTGTCCTTAACTGTAAAAATATCGCCGCAGGTTGCAGATCTTAATCTTTTTAATCATTTCTTCTCATTAGTGTGTAATGAGGGGGATGATGATATATTTAGATAAAATTTTGTAGCGTCTGGTAAAAAGGCCTTAGATTTATTATCGTTTCCGTTCTTTTGCTTCGCTTCTAACGTGATTCCTTTTTTCAGACCCCCTTGAATATTTTAATTATTTCAGGCGCGGTCTTAACAGGATTCTTAGCATTGCCAAACCGTAATAAAAAAAAATAGATACGATAATGCACGACTAATGATTTTCATCGATTCGATAATGAGACGGACGGTACCCAAACGTTTTCTTTAAGTAACGCAAGTAATAAAGTTCATTTGCAGGAATATCAAATTCTCTAAGCTATTCAGAAATGAACTTTTCTCACATTATTTCGCTAAAGCTTTGAAGCTCCAGTTTCAAGCGTTTCAACAAATTATTTTGTCTGTTTTATTCCATTTCAAAAAATATTAACGACAAAGGGCAAGTTTTTCATAACTGTGACACAAAAACGTTATGAGACTATCTAACTTTGAAATTTGTTTACATTTTGTTCTTTTGTGCACTTGTATAGAAGAGAACTTAACTTGGTTCTATAAAGCTAATTTGGAAGTATATTTGCAAATGGCGCCATTTACTCCAGTAACATGTGTTAAACATTAACGATATTACTGTAAGCTGGATAAAGTTGAAGCTAGTAATCAAAATAGTCACTAATTAGTTAAGCTCGCGTGTAAAATGTAGCTGAAGGTTTTAAGCCAGAGATCAAGATACCAGGTGCTCACATGTAGGGAGTGGTCGAGTGAAATGAACAAACATGGACATTATAGAGCAACTCATGACTCAATAATGAAAGGTCAGTGTATCATTATCGATGCGTTTTCGATTGATTTGCTAATAATATGTGATTAAATTTAGAGAAACACAACGTACACAAAATAAAGTAAAAAAGTTTCTCATCTCTGTTGTTTCTGAAAAAGAAAAAGTCTCTGAAGTGAATTTTGCAGATTCTTGCTTCACTAAAAAGTTTAATCTACCTGCACGAATATTTGTGCAAAAAAATTACAAGCAACCAACGCGCTTTTGAGCAGCTGATTTTGTTAGCATTATAAGCCAATTAATTTACACTATGTGAAAAAGTCTACGTAATGAGTCTCTTGAAATTTGATTAAGCTATAAAAACAATTTTATTAAGATGAAAAGCGTTCAGTATTAAAACATTTTTAAGTGCAATATTCTACATTGTTTCTAATTTGGGAAAATAGAGTTTTTATTCCAAACGTTTACGATTATTCTCAAAATTTTGTCCATCCAATATTGTAGGATATGGCAATACGACGTTGATGTAGCTACTTTAGAACAAGCAGACGCGGAAAAATTTTATTGGATCGTTGAGATAAGAACGCAAAGATCATTCTGATACCATCTTTAAGAAATAGGAATGTTACCGGCGATTACAAAATTCACACATGAAAAAAAATTTCATATTTTTAATTTTAGAAAGAAAGTTAAGTTTTACGACTTCTTAATCTCGGTCTTCATTTTGATTTTATTTGGCTAAAAAGTTCGTAAATTTTTGATTACAAAGTGCAGTTTATTGCTGTAGTTTCTACCAACCGTATTACAGAGAGCGCATATTTTTACATAATATAAGAGTCAAAAATGTATTTAGCGTTTACTGAGAAAACAAGATTTTGTATAAAAATGCAAAACAGCAGTGTTTTTATACTTTGATATATGCATTCTCCACGAAATGTTTAGTCAAACCAACATTCCATTTTTGCACAAAAACTGAGCTAATAAGTGATTCAAAGCTTCCCTACAAATTATATTTTTTTATTACACGACAAACTGATGACAAATTGATAATATCAAAATATGTCACATCTATAAAGTTTCCTTACAATTTTCTTAAAGAAATTATGAGACTGAATAAATTGGAAGTAAATTATAGCAATCTATTCCAATCTGTACTTATGTTTAATGTACAAGCGACTCTATTCTATTGCAAGATGATTAAATTTTTTATGTAAAATAACTGATATACTAAAGTACTATAAAAAAATTTATATACTCGTACTAATATAATTGATCAAAAAATACAATTTGTACCTTTATTTATTTAGATAAATCTAAAACACTTTTACGTTATTAAAAACACAATTTCATTTTAGTTTGTTGCTTTAACAGTTAAATAACTGTTTTTGTATTTAAACATTTTATTTATTAAATACATAGTACAGTATAATAAATATAAAACATAATCATAATCACATAAAAGAATAATAACCAAGTAAAACTTAAAATTCAATTACAAGGGTTTGAACCGAACTAAACATAAAGACAACACTGGAACTTTTATAAGTACTAAAAAAATCATGTTTCTCTATAAACTTTATTCTAGCAAGAAATTGTTATAACTTATAAATTAGAATATTTTGTAAAAAAATGTTTAATTTGTTCCACAACTATCAGAGGCTTAAAATAATAAAAAAGTTGTTATTGATTCTTTGGGAAAGTTTAATAAATCGAATCAGTCTGTGGAAATATCCCACGAGGCAACGTAGAGAATTCAAAGCAATACTGGAATAGGAGCGTGACCAACGGAATGATTAAATAATGGACGTTAGGTTATTTCATTAGGAAAGCAAACATGACAGTAATTCCAACAACCTTCCTTACCAGTAATGAAAAATATGGTAGAAATATGGCACAGACTGGAAACACTCATCATTTACAGGACACTCACATTCCTCTTTTACCATCAACACTCGACTTATCTTACATGCAAACCATTTTCATCGAGGAATTGACAAGTCTGATTGATTTTAAATTAGAACACGCTACCGAACGCACGTGTTCTCCCGTGTGATGAGTGATGACGCGATGTTCCGACGTCGGCGTCCCGACGCTGCAAACTGACGTCGAAAACTGAAACTTTGTCGACGCGAATCCGCTAACCAAGGATTTGTGACATGCGCCACTTGATACGGTTTTCCTACAATGTTTTGTTCTTTATTTAAGTTGGATAAATGTTGCTTGTGTTTTTATAATGCAAATTCAGAAGTGAGAAATGATGTCGAGATGGAAATTTACACTGGTTGCCTTTTGAACTAAGGAATCTTAGCGGAAATGGGTTGCGCTGTTTACAATTAATAAAGCGTCTGTAGATAATAGCAAACGCAACAAAGTGAATTATTTCACGACCGCAGAGTGCACAAAAATCATTATTTATTTCGTACAACTAAAAGCGTTTTAATGAAAACTTTCCAGCTTTCAGTCTCTAACTGAAACATAGTTACATTTTTCCAACTAGGGCTTAGACAAGAGAAAATAACATCTATACATAGTGGCCTTCCTCTACCCATAAAATTGATGCCGGAGTCTTTCGTATAAACTGAACAAGTTTGGGCAAGTTTCAGCCGCTAGATCCGCGCTAAAATATTACACGTGGGCGTTAAAGGATGTCAACTTCTTTAAAATTTACGAAGAGATCGATACTCTCAACAGATGCATCCTATCAAGACTATTTACGCAGCACACAAAAGTTCTACCCCAACCCTAGTCAGATGTAAAATTAAAACTCTACAAAAATTATTGTTGTATTTTAGACCGGACCATAAAGCTTTATCGAAGAAAGATACGCGGTCTCAGGAGGGCAACTTCTGGAGCTGAAGTATTCTTTACGATTTTTCAACATAACTTTTTAAAATTGGTTGCTAACAACTCTTGATGGAAAGTTTTCACACGATAAGTTTGCAGAAAATAAATAAAAGCCCGCTTCTGCCGTGGTTAAACTGATCTCGTGACGAATAAGTATTGTTATAAAAAATATAAAAATGTTATTTTTAGAAACGAAACATTCATATAATACAAAAAAAGTAAATGAAAGCAGTTTGTATAATTTTTACTTATAATATCCTAAGTGCATTGATTGTTTCCCGAAATTTTTTCCAGTGATTGTCAAAAACGTTATTAATTAGCTTGAGTGGAACACGAAGGCTAATTTACACGTTTTTGCCAATCACAAGAAAAAATTCCGAATTCAATCAATGCACGAGTGGTATTCGGGTGAAAATTGCAGGACATCACGAATTCAAGTAAGAAAATCTTAGTTTTTAATGTTTAAAATTACTAAATATTTGAGGTTACTTTTGGTGTCAAAAAAATTCCACTTATTAATTTTAGCTAATGAGTCAAAAAAATTTCGGAAAATTTTTGTGTTGCTATGGTAATAAATACTAATAATAAATAATAGAGCTTGTACCAAATCTGGTGGCGAACTGACGTTGTCAAAAATGACTGAAATATGACACTAAACATATGTTTACTAGTAAAAAAAATATTGTTCATTGGCGTCGTACTAAATAATATTTCAAAACCACTGTTGTTCTTTAAAAAATTATAATAAGTAGGTATTCATACATAAGATGAAGAATGATGAACAAATTATTAAATTGTTAACGCATGAAAAGAATTTAAAAAAATGATATTCCTAACAATCCTTGTCTTCAAAATCACTAAAGTAAAAATTGCTTTCATCGCTGCTATCGTCGGTTATAATAAGTTCATTAACGATTACATCTAAACGATTTTCTTACTTAAATATTGATCTTTATTTGCGATCACCCGGTTGCAAACTCTTGCAAAATGACACCTAAGAAAATTTTAGAGAAAAAAAGTACACCTATGTATTTTTTTATCTTAACCAAGTGGGCGCATTTCAAGTGTCTTCTCTGTCACTGTCAGTTCGCCACCAGATATGGAATAAGCTCTAAATTCAGATTGGTTTTTCCATTGGGTCATGCAATTTTTAGAATTCTTTTTTCAGACCGAGATAATTATCTCAGTTATAATAACATTGTTGCCTCTCCAGCAAACTGTGACCAAATACGCAAAAATTGCATGTGTTTTGTTTTATTCGATCTAAATTTTACTGTTTTTGTATCCAATTTTGCAAAATTGAAGTTTCCTTTATAGTCCAGCCTGGCGTAACCCACACTGCATCTATAAATTCGTCCGTGCGGTGACGAATGTCTATTTTTGTGCAAATACAATCGCGTTAGAGGGTTTTCGTTGCCGACTTTTCTTTTGAATGTAAAAATTTATTACCGGGATCTGGTAGAAAACACATCGTGAGTGAATAACTCGTACAGGTGCCTCCGTAAGGATGGCAGAGAGAAATGAGTGGATTGGAAGAAACAAACGGCTGGGTGTCAGACATGCATCAAAATAAACTTACCAACAGTTCAAAGATAACAAATTTTTCACGGTTTATGAAAAGTTTAATTTGAATTCGGCAAGTGTTGGGGGAAGATCGATCGGTATGCGACGAGTTTCTACAGTTTTTGCTTTAAAGGAAAGATGCTAAAGTCTACAGTGTCAAAGGGAATATATCGGAAACAAGATACCATAAGTCATTGCGAGCACGTCTCCACTAATGGGACAATTCGATACCACGAGGCGCTTTTTGTATCTTAAGATGAAAGAACGAAACACCAGATCCGGCATTTTTCAAGTGACTACAGTTCAGAAACAAAGCTTATTTTACGTTACAAAATCTTGTCTCAGTTTATTCGTTTACAAATACCTACAATTATTACATATTAGCAACAACATTTCAAGAAACACTTAAATGTAACCAACTTTAAATGCAACAATACTATTTTAAGAGCCTTAAATACATCATTTGAAGTAAACTTTGTAAAGAGGATTGTTCCAACCATTGGCCAAACTGTCAAGTAGAATTTAATTTATAACAACGTGAACTTCTTATGGTTTATAAAAGTACCATATTTTAAAAATGACAAAAATATTAAATTGAAGCGGTCGTTGAACATCTACCCAATAAAGAAAAACAGCATGGTGGCAAAAACCAATTAGGTACAACACGCATTTTAAGTAGGTTTTTGATTATTTTTTAGTTTAGTAAAAAATAAAATACATACTAAAATTATTGTCAATTGTTGTTTTAAAATTGTAAGTAAAAACTATAAATTTTTTAAGAAATGTAGTGTCCCTTTTTTGTGTTTTTAGTCTTGATTTTTATTTGTCTTCTTTTATATTTATAATTATAATTAAATATTTTTTCTTTTTAGTATTTTATTCTGATAAATAAAACGCATTAAAACCAAATTTCATTAAATATTTCTAAATTCTATCCAAATATCGTAAAGTTTCACCTTAAATTGGTAACACTATTAAAAAACTTTTTTCCAACACTATAACATCTTATACATCTCCCACCTCGATATACAGGCTATCCGGTAAGTCGCGCACTTCCTTGAAAGAGAGTAATTGGGTAGTCCGCCAGAGCACTAAAAAATGTTTAAAATATTCTATCTGTCAAAAAAATTTGACATTTATTTTTTGACATTTGACATTTTTTATGTCTATTCAACAATACTGATGATCTTATTATTATTAGTATTATTATTTAGTAAAGGTACAAAAATTTTGCCAATAAAAACCACAAATAACATTAAACAGAGTTCCAGTTTAGGATATAGCTTTTCATTTCCTCTTCTAATAGCCTTAGCAAAAACTTGGAAAATTATTTTTCCAAGAGAAATAAATAAAGTTTAAGTTCAAAATTTAGACCCTCATAACTTCGAAATTTTTATAGATAGATTTTTTTCAACATTTTTCTTGTTGTCTAGGACACCGTGTCACGGAGGTGCGCCACTTTTCGGACAAACGAATTTCAAAATTAATTGTAATTTTTGATCGAAAAAGTGTTGAATCGGTTTTGAAATTTAATTGCGATTTATTTAAAGCTGTGTAGGTATGAAAAATCACTTGGTGTTTTTAAAATTCTTAAACTTTATATCAAACCCACTTGAAAAACTTTTACAACAAAATTGTGCATGGAACCGTAAGGACTTATGCTAAGGTTTGTAATTTCTTGTGAAGTGGAATAGCGCTATCATGTGTGAATAATACCACTTTTCTTCACAGCTACTGAAAAATGAACGCTAAATTTGAACACTGCGATAAGTCTGCACCGTAAGATGAAAATGGCATGTACTTGAAAACAACAGACTATAATATGTTCTATTCTACTAAATCTAACATTTTTTATGTTAATTTTAAAAAATATGCAAAAAAATTAAAACAAAAAAGAAAATTTATATAAATAAAATAATTAGCTGTACAAATAAAGAGAAAAATTGTGCATTCAGCAGGATTTGAGTTAATTAAAAAGTGTTGCAACAAACAAATTAGCTGGGAGCTAGGTGATGCTGATTAGAGACTTATTGAAAAGTTGATAAAAATAGCAGTGCTTGTGTTAATTATAATAAAGAAAGCGCTTTTTACGCTTGAACCTAATGTAGTTATTTTGAAAATTTCAGCTACGTTCTGCAATTTTGCGGTGGATTTTTTATGCGTGGCTGCTGAAAGCAGACATGCAAAATTTAACGTAAAAAAAACAGTCATTGCCATTTAGCGATTTTCGTGATGAATAATAAATTTCATTTGGCACAATGCGTCTCTATCGTGTCTCGAATAAACTAAATAATTTCCTTCAGGCACCTCCATTAATAATTTACTTCTGAGTAACGCTTAGAATATTATTTATTGACGAAGTATGAATATGGTTGACGAAACAATAGCCGAAATGTGGGTTACACTGAACGGTTCGATAATTGAGTCCGTACCGTGATGAAAATGATTACCTACGAATTAGCAGAGTAATTTTACTCATTATTAAGATTATAATCGTTTCATACACAACACAATTACTTTAATTATGAAAACCATTAGACGTTGCACAATAGTTGAAAGCATTTACTGTTGAATTTATACAAGAAAACAAAGCCTTTTGTGCAAAGGGTACACAGCAGTCGAATTTGTCAAATTATTTTAAAAATTGCTAATTCTAGAAAACAATTTGTTACTCAAAATTCAGCTTTCAAAA